CGCGGTGGTTTCGCCGACGTTGGAAGACAAGGCGGCGCTGCGAAGGGCCCGTGAGACCGAACGTAAGCGGGCGAAGCGTGCAGCGGATGCCGAACTGCGTGCTCGCGAGGCCGAGTGCAAGCGGGCGAAGCGTGCAGCGGATGCCGAACTGCGCGCTCGCAATCGCGCTCGCAATCGTAACGGCGAGTGGACGTTCCCGAAGCCGTTCCAGCCAGTGAACGTGCCGCGCGGGAAAGGGTGCGAGCCCTGGACTTTGCTCGTCCGGACGCGTCGTGAAGTGTAAATAAATAATACTTCGTATATAATGTATCTGTGTACAAATGCTTCATGACAAACAACACTTAAATTCATTAATTACACTTTAATCATCATCATCAGTAATAAAACTTCCAAGCATTTCCCCGGGGGTGAACATGGTCAAGTGCGAATGCACGGGGTGATGCTATGAGGGGGAGTAAAGTTAAAATCCGTTGGCATTCGCCAGTGAGTTAACGTAAACTCCCCCGTGTGATCAAATTGCGATTCCCAGGAACCATTACACCATAAAGGCACCATAGTGTGATTAATATAATAGTGCGAATTAATAAATACCCCTCATAGCATCACCCCGTTCATTCGCACTTAACCATGTTCACCCTCGGGGAAATGCTTGGGAATTTTTTGTAATAAACTTGCATGCTTTGACTGCCCTCTGATTATATTATGAGCTTTTGGTGCTCTCGCTTCACAGTGTTTTTTTCTTTTGCGATACAGCTTCCCGAAAATCAGTCCGATGGCAGCCGGCACAGTCTGTGCGTTCTCCTTTCTAGTGCGACGCAGTTAACGCTTTGTGTGTGTGTGGGTGGGTTTCGGAGGGTGTGTGCTTGAGTTAGTTGAGTATTCCTGATAAGCACTACATTTGCTCAGGCCACATCGTGTTTCCTCGAATATAACACCTCGTCGAAATGGATGATGTATCCCACAAATTATATGGTTTGATACAGTGACCAAACGTACGGTTCATGCTGTGTAAACCGAACCTAAAAAGAATTCGCAACAAGATTAAGCCCGCCCTTTCACGACATACTTAGAAAGCAGTGCACGTTCACTTCCTAAAAAAGCTTTAACATTCAGGCGTGCTGGCTGGGTTTGCACCTTTATTATAAAGTGAAATTGTAGTGCTTACATAATTTTTGTTCTGCTTCTGTTGTAGACCATGGCACAACAGTTTTCTTGGGATAATTAGTAATCATAATTATGCAGATACATCTATGTTAGACATATGTAGAGCAACTTAGTAAAAAACTAAATAAACATACACACGTAATTTCTGCTCCTGACACGAAGCTCTTATTTGCAAGAACTGAAGTACACCATCTAGCCACTGATTTACACACCTTATTCACTTCATGTGTGACGGCTCATCTTCAGCTGCTTGGCCCTCTGCCGCTTCCCTGCCTAATTGTCAGTGTTCAGTCCTTTCACATTGAATAAAGACGTGTGACAACGTAAAAATTAATTACTTTCGCTGTGAGGGTAGCTGCGTGCACACTGCAACCAACTTCAATCGAGAGTCTGCGCTGAACAATTGCCAGTATGTCCATAATGCTGTCAGAGTGCAGCTTACTCTGGCAAAAACATTCTGTGAAAATATCCTCGAGCTTTTTCTTGAAGCTGTACAGCTGACTTGAGGGATGAAGGAGGCCTCCTCGGTCACAAAAGTTGGTCAGCCGAACAAGTTGAAAACAGCCTCGGCGTGGATAATGGGTGAAGTATGCGCACTTTTTTTCCATCGTTAATATGCACAGACGCGGTTGCAAGTGGAGTTCGCAAACTGCGTTGGTGTCTTCTAGAAGCTTGTCCGCCCTGTCCTGGTTCTTCTCGCATTCTTTCGGCCTGTTTTCATCCTTCAGAACGCCAAACGATGACAGGTCCTGCTTACTCTTCACGAACACGTTGCCTGTTAGACACCCAAGCGCCTAACAGTGGTTTTGCCGTTGTCGCGGCTTGGTTACAGTATGCACTGTAAAGCATACTGTCATCTTGCGTGGTGCGTAACACTCAAAGCTAACGGCAAAAACTCGGCGCAACAATGTCCACAGCCACACAACGAGGCTCAAACTCTGTTGCTCTGCAGGACTTGACCGGCTCACAACCGGCTCAGATGCAACGTCCCTCCCAAACTTCTTCCATTGATGACGATGCCAGCGCCGCCGCTTGTGCAACCAGAGAACCACAAACGTGTGACATTTCTGGAGCCACCCTCTGCATATCCTTGATCCGGTCCGTGTCGTAAACGTGACAAATCACTGGCCGTCCGCGTCAGAAGGCTCGGAGTCAACATGACATCCATCACAGAAGGCTCGCACAATGAATATTTTGGCATAATTCACATGTCATGTATAGATCACCGGTAAGATTCGTCCTCACACATCAGCGTTACCCACGGCAGCTTCACCAAAGTCCTTGAGGCTACAGATTCAGTCGAGAATACATGAAATCCGCTCTATCTCGCCCATGAAAGTCCTTTTTCCCGGGTTTCGGCACCATAAAATGTAGAAGAAATGAAGCCTCTTCGTTAGTAAGATGAAAAATGGGCCACTAAAACAGTTGCAACCCGTCCATTCCTGGCCGTTCCTAATGTAAAGTCCGAGACATGCGCTAGTCACATCATCGTCCTTCTCTTCTTATCATATTTAACGGAGAGAACTTTAGAAATTATGCATTATCTAAGCACCAATATATCAGTAGCTTTTACGAGCAGTAAGAAGTGATTTACACCAGTGGAATCGGTTCCATTATCACTACCGAGATGGAACACCTCCCCCAAGATTTTAGTTCATTATCAACTGGAAAGTTTGCAGTACATACCTGCACCATGTTCCTTGTTATGTGCATTGTACCACTACACATGGTGGAAATAGGTCGATCAATCAGGATAGTGAGTTGGCAGTTAAATGCTCTTGTACATAGCAAAAAAACAACTGAGGCAAATGAGCATGCTTGACTTGGTCTTTTATATATATTGTTTTACAACGAAAGCTGTTATGAGCTCACAAGACGGGTCACGTGCGCCGTAGTTGTCTGTCGTTGCCGCCGGTGTCCATAATAAATATCGCGCGAAATAAAAAAAACTAATTATATTAAAAACACTAAGGACACAGTGGGATTTGAACATGGGTCTTCTGCGTACCAGCCTAGTATTCTACCACTGAGTCACGCCACTTTTTTTTTTCTTTATTACCGGTTCTTCCTGTGGTAAACACATCAGTATAGGTCGCTATGAACAATAATAAGCACAACAGAAGCGACGTCAAGACTGTTGCGAGACTATTAGTAGTTACAGTGCTTAAATTCCTTTAGCTTTACCAGGGGTTCAACCCTTAAAAGCTACTCATGAACGAAGTCTAGATGCTTGAGTATATAAACGCATTGAGCAATGCTTTCGCGGAAAAGCACGCGCGCAGGACGCCTGTCAGGATCACAGTAGAAACCGGCCGTTCTAGCCCGCCATAGACAATGGAGACCTAGCAGCATATAAGATCAAAAGGCAGTGCATCCTCATTTTTCATTGTTAAAAACCTGATACTCAGTGAATGTAAAGGAAGTTCCTTTTTTAAGAGTTCTCTGTAAAACATCACAGAAGTAGACCCCTCCCCAGCAATAAAAAAAAAACGTGATCTATTGCTTCCGGATTTTGACAGATCAAACAGGCAGATAAAAAAAAAGAGTAAAAAAGGGAGGGGGGTGGGGGACTGAGCCTGTCGCATCTGTTCGTGCGACAAATAGCTAATAAGTTTATTTTCTTTCGTGATGTTCGACACCTCTTCTTGAGAACGGTAAGTCAGTTATGCTTTTGTCGTGTTTTGCCTAACTATGTGGTTAGCTCCGCAAGCATGCCCAGAGCCACGCGAGCTTTCTTTAAGGAAGTTGCGGACAGCGTCCGCTTTTAGTCAGTTCGGTTTTCCAATTAATACTTTGTTTTGGTCGGGCGAAAGAAACTGCATAAAAACATATGCAACACGATTTTTCCGGTTCCTATGTATAAATTAGGGCAAGGATTTTCTGAAGCATGTTAAGAAAATGCAAATTCAGCCAAGTGCAAAAAGCTTTTTTTTTTTTAATTTCATTCAGGCACGTAACTTGTAAAGACTTTTTTAGAAGATAGAGGATTTTACATTCTATGAGGTTCATACTGAGTCCCTTCACTGCTCAAAACTCTGCTGCAAAATGGCCTCAGGCAGGCTTGATGATGGGAAAGGAACCAGGTTATTATGAGCAATGAAGCATTTTATAACTGCAAAGGAACAACCAGGTATAGCACAATTCGAATTGTGTAACGAGTGGGCCACTAAATACCACGACCCATTAAAAAATCTCGGGCATATATCCATGTCTTCATCAGCCACATCATAAAAAAAATTTCACAAAATTCCTTGCAAGGATGTAGAGGGTACTGTGCTTCTCCGAAGAAAAACGAAGGATAGCATAGTGCGGTAAGGTTATTAGGGCAGTCTGGAATACAGGCTCAAAAGCATACTACTTGTAGTTAAATTGAATATTTTACATATTATTGCAATTTCATTTCTTTATTTTTTGTTTTAATTTTCATAGCTTACCTAAAATAACATTTAACAGTCTCTACGTTGCATTCTTGACCAATCCCCCAAAGTGGTTACGTGCCATGTATCTGGAAAGCGAAGCAAAGCAAAGAATGCCTCCCTAACACATACAATTGCGATAATTTATGGCATAGTAGGTACCTTGCAAGTATGCTTTTAGCAATTACCCAAAGAGTATTTAACAAAGGCTCTGAAAGGTCACTCTTCCAGTCATTGTTGTGACAGTGCTGCATGTTCCACACAAGCCTGGCAGTTTTTTTTTTTAGCATATAAGAGCTCCATTTCTGGATGCACCACAAACCGCATTTCTACAGTGGTGCAAATGTGGTGGCTAGGTAACAAATAATGCCACTAACAAGAAAATATTTTCTGAAAGAATTTATTACAAGACAACAATAACAAAAAAGAAATTTAATACATGAACAATATAGTCTAAATATACTTCCACAATAAATAGTCTGACATAACCGGACATCAGTAGCCCAAAAAACATACGAGTCGAATTGAGAAAAGGAGCATCAGCAGAGAGAAAACGTACTATCATGTCCAAACACCGTGTACGCTGGAGACCGCCAACACATGAGGGAGGAAAATGCAGTAACCACACATCCACCCAGAGATTCATCTTAAAGACAAGTATACGGAATGTTGAGCCTGGTGCGTACTGATAATGCCGGGGCTGCAAGAAACATGGAAGAGTATAAGCTGTCAAGTACTATTAATAGCAATAATAAAAACTACAGAAGGCAGATAAGAGGCTCACAGAGCTCATAAAAGTAGCAACACCAACAATGAAGGCTGTACATTACCCCTTAAACATGAAAGCACACATCAAAAAAAGAGAAAGAGGCAATGACAAAAGTGTACTATCTACAGTATCATAATGATCGCACTCTTCTCTCACAGACTAACAGGGCAAAATAAATAGCAAGCCTTTCAGGCAACTGATTTGCAAAGAAACTACATACATGTAATACGGGAGCAATGCAGACACATATGAACAAGCAGTCTAGGAGACCAGAACACAGCACCCAACTAAGCTGGTTGCTCAGTCGTTCTCTATACAAATGTAATATCTTGACCCTCAAAAATACAATTCTACTGGTTTCTATCACAGCTTTTTCAGAGCAAACGGCATACAGGTGAGCTACCTTGCTCTTCACACAAAACAAGATTCCGACTGCAAACCAGCAGCTGCTTAGCTACAGTCTCCGCAAGAGCACAGTGTTGCAGACACTCAACCCACATTCCATATAAAACTGCCCCTCTACAACCCAATATGGGAAAGGCTTTTCTAAACATATAGGGCATATCAGAAAGAATAAAATGAACAAAAAGTGAAAGTTCAAAAGCCACACCCAGATGAGCAATTCAGACCATTTCCGCTGATAGCACAGACGTTACTTATGACACGGGAATGAAAATACAGCTGAGAAATATTATTTATGCCCACAGACAGTAAGACACAGCCCAATATCACATGAACACTTCTCCTCAAAACACAAAAATTGGCTTAAGAATAATTACCTAAAATCAGAAATCACTGTCACAGTCACACAAACCTTTTTCAATGGGAGACAGTCAACCAGAAAAACCTGAATGGCAAGAGATGCAAATTCAAGTGTGCAACAGAGGCAAATTTGCATGCTTTGCCTTTCACAAGGCAAGCTACTGCACCTAACAAATGAAGCAGTAACCTGTTTCGCAGAAGACTAGAACTATCAAATAAAGCAACTGACTACAGAAGTTCCTTGCTTCGTTTCAGCAAGGTATCTACTTGAAATTTAGCTTCATTAAATCCACAATAGTGTCTGGCGTGTGAATCCCTATTCATGCTGGACAATTTCAGTTCAGTGCTGTCTGCCTACATGTCAACTTTCAACATCTCCTCTGAAGGACTCTCAGCCAAACTTGCGCATTTACAGCAGCTGCCAGCCAGCCACCAGCAAACCCAAATTTCCTCAGCAGCCACCTTATAGTTAGTGATATGCATACGGTGGCTCAATATTTTACCACTGGCCATTCATTAAGACCCCACATTGAATCACTAGACTTAACCAGCACTGGTTTCGTGGAAAGTCGACGAAGATTGCTTCATTGAAGCTAAACAGCATGTGGAAGGCCAAGAAGGCACTTTGCCAACAACAGTAGGTTCTAAAATTTAAATCCCAGTTACACATTTGTGAAGGAGGAGGTTGTATAGCGACGTCCAAACTATATCATTTGTCAAGCGTAGAATCAATAACAATTCAAATCTGCCTTGTGAGCCATTTACAGAATGAAAATTACTGAGAAAGGAACAGTGAAAAGAAACACTGAATCAGCTTAAACACACAAAATGTCTTTTAGAAACACTTTTTTTTTTAACTTTTAAAGGTGTGGCGACATCAACTTTGACGCTAGTGCATTCATTGATGCAAATGTTTCTTATTTATCTAGAAGTAGGATACACACCCCAACATTCACATATTCTCCCTAGGCAGTTTAGTATAGCCTTATTTAAAAGAATTACTTTCAGTTTCTGTAAGCTTCAATACATGAGCCCACAAAACTGACGCATGCAGTGTTGCATTGTCTGATCTAACACATACAAGTGAGCAAGTGTCCAGATGCCATCAAAACTCACTAAAACTCTCTAATAGAGGATATTAGCGCATACAGAATTCCGATATAAGCAGAGATCTTTTCGGAGTACCAGGTTAATGGACGATGATTCAGACATATTGTGATGCTTCGTGCAACCATTACCATAAATGTTTCCTTGTTTTTGCCGAGTTACTGTGGCGTAAAAATAGTGAAAAAAAGCAATGCATCAATAACTACATCACTGCCGAGAATTGAAATTGGCAGAAGAGTATAATACATGGCATTTCTGGATCAACCATTCTGTGCGGCAGGTGGCCGTACCTATCTCGTCTCACATTTACAGCTACGGCAACACTGCATGCTAAGGAAAAGTGTGCGTACAGATTAAAATTTGCAAGTGTCACCTTCCAAGATTCGCATGATCATGCGAAGCACTTAGTAAGATGCGTGCAAGTTTGGCTAGTATGGTTATACAGCCAAGCCCCTTTATAAGAGACACTGATGTAAGAGACAAATGGGTATAAGAGACACCAGCGTGCCTACAGTAAAATACGGTTTGATAGGAAAATGTATACGTGGTACCATGCTTATAAGAGACATCTCATATAAAAGACCAGAATTGCTGCCTGGTGCATATCTCTTATGAAGTGGTTCAACTATACACCGCGAAAAAATGGGTGTAGGTTCACAGTCGAAGCTCTCTTGGCTTGCCTGGAGCAGCGGAACTGTGGGTTAGTCACCGTGCCTAGTACATCACTTTAATGTGGTCCGACATTGCTAAAACTTTTGCAACATTTCCTATGCAAGTGATGTCATGTCAGTCCTGCTATGGGTCTTGATCATGAGAAAGGAGCAGTTCAGCACACTTTCGAAGCGAATAAAGAAACTATCTCCTCTACTTGTTGCCTGAAGATTGCAGCCAAAGAAAGCTTCTCAAATTATGAATGATCTCTCAATGAACATTCTTCTGAATTGTGATTCTTGTGAATAAAGATACTTCTTTTTTTTTCCATTGACATCGTTTCATGTTCACAGTCAAAGCATGTCTATTTTACATGACTGGAGAGTCATCCTTCTTGTTACATTCAAGTAAATAAGTGAACCTCAATTTTTTCAATGATTTTTGCGGTCCAACATTTAGCATAGGAAGTTGAATTGGATAATTTGAAGCGACGGTCAGCACATGCCCAGTTACTTAGAAAACTTAGGGTGTCGTGTACCCATTCCGACCCCAATTTCGCCCCAAATCCGCATAAATGACGGCCCTTAAGAACTGCAAGGCAATAAAGTGTAGCGATACGAATGAGTGACAGGCCAAGCATCCCAGCACGCTGCTGCCTGCAGAAAAAAAAAAGTGCTTCACTGGAACACAGCAATAACCCGTGGGCAACACGTTGCATGCTTCTCGCAACGTCAGCACATCATGATTTACCCATTTTTTTTAAATATAAACAAATGAATCAGCCTGTCTGATGGAATTCGCAGTGTATGCGAACTTACGATTTGTGCTTACTCCAGCAATTTGTGCACTTGCACTGGTGGCATAGTTCTTCCCTGCAATGCCTACTCCGAAAATTCAGTTCGAAAACTTCAATGACATTTTTCAACCGAAAAACATAGCAAATTCTGTCACACTAAACATTATCAGTTTCTAGTTTTAAAAATTCAGCAGATCCCACGTACCTGGGAATCGACGTTATACGAAGCCTGCGAAGGGAAGGTGACAGTGTTGGATTTTTTTTTTTTTTTTTTTTGAGCGACACGTCATGAAATGACGCCAAATATAAGTACAAATGTTGCACACAGACACATATGTTGAAGAGTTGCAGATGTTTATATAACCAGTTGTTTTCACTTGTGCAACGACGACAACGGGAACATGTGTCTTAACAACACCAGAAGCTGATATGAAGCGCTGATGCTAGCGAGGATGCTGGCCCTGGACACTGCTACATAAATCAACTTCAGCGCGTGGCAACTAATCATAATTGACGTTAACCCGACGTGACGGCTGTATCAAAGGAGTACATATGTAATGTTTATAAAATTGTGTAGGCAGCACTGCAACCACTATTGACATTTCATGAAGATTAGCATCTATTTGAAAAGTAGCTTCGAGACCTGGCGTAGCTCTGTGGTAAAATGCTTCATTGCCACGCAAAATGCTTGCGTTCGATTCCAGCTAGAACCCTGACATTTATTCTCTGCATTCGTGGGGTTGACGCTACCGATGTCGGGTACTTCTTAACGCTCGCGCCTTAAAATTACTCCAGTATATTCTCGTCGTTCTTGGGCAGATAAGTGGCAAACACCTGCGCAAGTGTCAAACACCTGCGGCACATACCCGCATGCCAGAGGCACATACCCACCCATGGGTATGTGCCACTGCTTGCCGGGAAGTGCGCAATGGGATTGTGACATTATTCATGTCTTGACCACGAAGGATTTTTTTTAATTGCTAGAGTAAAAATCATCGCCTAGGAGTGAAGTTGTGCCTTTGGCAAGATGGCGGCTGTGGCAGCCATCTTACTAGGCGCATGATAAAGTATCGCCGTTAAGCGATTAAGAACGGAGCGTATCCCTCACATGCCCAACGAGTGTAATGTGGAAACTTTTTCGGGTCACACAATGCTTCAAATGCGTCTTAATGTTACTTGTTTTCCTTAGTGAGCCTCTTAGTGGAGGCAAAGTTCTTGGGAAGTTCAGTCACCCATACTTGTTTTTTTCCGTTATTTCGTCAGAAACAACTATGCTGAACTATCTATCTATCCATTTATCTATTTATCTATCTATCTATCTATCTATCTATCTATCTATCTATCTATCTATCTATCTATCTATCTATCTATCTATCTAGCTAGCTAGCTAGCTACCTAGCTAGCTAGCTAGCTAGCTAGCTAGCTACCTAGCTAAATGCCACAGCTGAATGCCACACCCTAGCACTTTGTCTTTGCATTCGGTTTGTTCCAATAAAATGAATATATGTACTTGTCATACATTTAGGTACTGAAGCTCACGTTGCTTCTGTTTGCTAAATCCCACAAAAACAAGGCAGCAGCTGAAAGTGGCACGCTGTGAGGCTGAACACCCTTCGTGGTAATGTTACCAACAACAGCAAAGTTTCTCAATAGAGCTTCACTAATTAACCTAGCCAGTACATCATCTGCTAAACTTACTACAGCCAGATCAACCACACCCATGACAACAGCCTCGCACATGTTCACTCAATGCCATGAGCAAAGATCATGACTAGGCCCGGCTCAAGCACCATATCGTCATTCATATGCTGATTCTCACACGCTACCACTACAACAGCCTGCTTGCCCGGGATGCGCTTGCAGACGTAGGCCTCGTAATGACGTCTATTCATTTGGCGTGTTTCAAGTGTGCTTAGCCCTGGAGGCCAGCGGCGTTCATGAGCATTCTCAATAAGCATCTGCAGGATGTGCTGGGGGCAGCCACTGTCAGTCAGGGCACGCTTTACCATGGCTTGAAGCACTGCATCCGGTGTGGAAATCATGCTGCCCCAGCGTGTGACTCGTGCTCGCTGCAGCTTACCTGCCCACCTGCACACACATAGAAATTAAGAATGAAAAAGCATGCAGACGCTCTAAAAATTTTTGTGTGCACTTCTTGTTTGCATCGTGCAACATCCTCATTGCTAATAAAGGCCCTGCATTTAGCACTGTAGAGTCATTTTACTAAATGAAGTGCCCTGTATTCTTTTTTTTCTTTTAGAAAAAGAAAAAAATGTAAGTAGAAAGCACCAATCTATCCAAACTCGCCCTTATATTTTGAACCGTCTACTAATTACCTTCAAGATGCGATTAAATTGTGTGAAGATGCACACAGACAGCTATGCACTGCTAGACCAAGCTGGGGGGAGTGTGCACACACCAGCATGCCCACTACGCAACTTGGTCAGCACACTTATTGAGACTGACAAGAAAGCACATAGTTCGAACATTTCATGGCAGGGCTTTAGGCTTAACTATGACAGCAGTGGTGACCACAATCAATAGTTACAGTAATGATGGTGATGGGAGGATAGAAGGGACAAAGGATGGAAGGGAGGGAGCATTCCACAATGGAGTACGCCTGTGTAAGCATTAGTAAAAAAACCCGCGATTACGTAATCCCGAGGGAATGAAATTCTCGCTGCAAAGAAATATTTTCAGAGCACCAGCAAATGGCCATAGGAGTAAATGCACTTCGTAATTCGAGAATACACAACATTATTCTACCGCAGTTCCTTATTAAGGAAACTTTTCAAATGGGAGTGCACAAATAATCTAAGCTAGTAACATTACCTGCATTCAAAAACTGCTCAAATGTATTCGTGGTACACTTAAATTGTGCAAAATTATCGCTGAAGTGCAAATTAAGCAGCCACTGCCATCATGGTTAAAAAAAGAGAGAGAGAGAGCCATGATAATGATGGTTTACCCAACGGTAAGGGTGACTGCACAATTTCCAGACTGTGCCGACCAAAAATGCATTTAATTAGCAGTACCAGCTGCTACATATTATTGCGATAGCAATTATATGGCACTCGACTGGATTTCGCCGCAACGCCGTGGGCATCGGCGTCGATGTCATGCACCATATATGTATCTATATATATGAACACGCAAGAAAGAAAAAATCCAGCAAAAAACACTCCGGCACACGAAATCGAATGTGGGACCTCTGCGTCCTGAAAGCAAGGCGTTAACCACTGAACCACCCCGGAGCACATCTTTCACCCTTCGAACGGCAAGCTACTTATATCTACCACTTACCGCTGCTCACGAGCACCTCCGGGGAAAATTGTGTTTTCAGCGTCACCAGCAAGAAGATGATGAGCGCACGTAACCACATCGCGCGGCAGCGCCCGCTCTAATCTCCTATGCGTACTTTGTCCAGCTTACAGAAGGGGAGTTAGGCTCCCTTACACACCCTTATCTTGCGGTGGCGAGGAGGGGAAGGTCGTACGCCTTGGCTAGCCTAGGGCTTTACCTGGAACGACTCTGCTGCAGTTACCGGGTGCAAAAAGGTCACTGCAATCATTGCAGTCTCCGTTTGCGAAAAGTAGGCACTTTTAAGACACAGCAAAGTAACAAATGAGTCGCTTATTTGCATGCATTGGTACCTGTGAGTACGTTTTGTGCATAATTTGTGTTAGGAACGCGGGGCAAGTTTCGCTCTGCTTTCTATTCTGCGCTTGACCTTTCAATTTGTTGCTATCGCGTTCATTGCTTTGCCTTTCCGGCAAAGCTGTGACTTTCTTAAAAACAAACCCCGAATATCTGCGGTGACTTTTCAGTGGGAACATGTAGATATTTTAATGATCCGACACAGAAATACGTGCTTGTTACGCCGATTCGTAATCATGGACTACGCTGCTAAATCTACCTCCACATGAAGTTTCGTTCGTTGGCTTGGTTGGCTTCGCATACCCATTGCGGCCGCACTTAGTATGACACGGTCACGTGTGTGCTTGGTGTACTGTCTGTAGCGATTCACAGTCTGATTTTTCTGCCTGCAAGATGCTGCATCTAATGAAGAAGTAGAAGTTCATCACACTTGTTGACAGTGCAGAGCCACTGCCACTGAACAGTGCATGAGGCCAACTTTGTGCCACGGCAAATAAAATTCCCGATGGCCTCAGCATCGATGAGTTCATTTTGCGCAGATGAAGACGTTATTCTGCACAAAGAAATGACCAATGAAGCCATCATCACTTACGTGCGCAAGGCGGACGATCCTGATGATCCAAGACCAGAACAGTTAGAAAAAAAAAAAAAAAAACCCTGCACAAGGGTGCAACAAGGTACATGGGCTTGAGAGCAGGCAAAAGTGCCTTTTCAGGGTTAATGCTTGTATACACAACTAAAATTCAAAGGTTTTCAAGGAAGGAACTCACTGACTGTTAGAATACCAATTTACACATGTTCAGGGGAAGATGGAGGATTGAAATAACTAGATTTCATCACGCAAGGCTAATTTCGCTAGACGTTTTTTTTTTCTAGACAACCTTCAATCATAGTTTCTTTAAGTTGCATGGAAAAGCACTTTTAATATGCCACCAAGTGACAACATTTATTCAGATATGGAAAACTAAGAAAACCATCAACTTGCGAGGGCAGACAGGCTTTCTTCTGGGAGAGGGTGAATTGGCCAACGCCCTCAATATATGATGCACCCGCCACACTTGCATCGTCTCGCGATGCCTCATTCGCTTGTGTCAAACCAAACTTCAACTCTTAAATTTCTTTTTCTATTTTCTTCTCCACGAGCGTTCGTTCATGCTATTCACGTGCTCGTTTGTCTTCCCTTTCCTGTTGTTGCTGAAGGTTAGTAAAAAAAACTCTATCGTCTCCTCCTTGTTCATGCCCAAGTCTTTGGCCACGGCCGCCAACTTCTCCCAATCCATCTTTGCCATCCCTCACGATAAGTGACTGGGCCTGATGCAAACATCCTGGCACAGACTCGCCACTTATTTATCACGATCATCTCGGGAGTGCTTGCGATACTGGATCAGATCGGGAGAGAGTGGGATGGGCACAGGAAACCGTGATACGATGACCAACAAACTTTATAAAAAATAAATAAAATAAAAATGTTAATGACACTGAACAAGAGAAACAAACCCCTATTTACATTAACAAATCTTAGATCACACCCAGCACTGAAACTAGCCAAACAGAGTGTCTTAGCTAGGCTTAGATACGTCTCTTCAACTCAGTCTGGCCACTATAGGCTTTGCGGTACTATAATGTTCTTACAGTTCGATCGTCGTTTGTCATGCTGACTCGATGTTCCTGTCGCGTCAATCTCTCGACAAGACCGCCGTCGATGTCCTCAGCAGGCGCCCAAGCTCATCTTCAGTTACCTTCCTCCAGCCTGTTACCTTCCTCCAGCCTGTCGCTATTCCTCGTCACGTTTGTCCTCAGTAGTCTTCGCCGTCCCCGCTCAGCCGAGGTTAGGCCTAACCAGGCCTAGGTTCCTTGCTTCGGGACTCCACAGGACGGACTCCTTTTTGCCTGTACTGTAGTCTGCAGCCGTCCTGCCGAAAAGAGAAGGGCTGCTGGCGATCCCGGAACTACAGTGCCAAGGAGCGGCAAGTCCGGGCAGCCTCGCTAGAAGCCTTCCAAAGTCGACGGCCACTACCCTAGCCTTGCGTGCCGCCGCTTCCGGAACCGAGTACCAGCCACCTTCTTCGAGGGTGCACGCTTGCTCCTTCCTCAATCTTCTTCGTCCAGAGCCCCACAGAACAGTCCCTTGTTCCTCTTTCATAGTTAACCATCACCACTCAGGTCGCATGCCACGTGCCCCTATCTTGCCAATCCTCTGCATCGACGTTGCTGGTGCAAGTGCCCTCGGATGACTTTTTCTTCTTGTGCAACGCCACTGCTTTTTCACGTTTGGCAGCCGCCTCGTGCCTCTCCTTTACTCATCGCAAGCAGCCATCAGTGGGCAGCACATACAATTCTACGTGCTGTGCTTTCATAACAGAGACTTTGCTAAAACTAAAAGTGTTACTCACTCTGGAGTAGTTGTACTCTCTCACAGCAGCATTTTGTAGTGTTACGTGAGATCAGATCCAAAATTTGTTGGACTTTGGCAAAATGAACTAAAATACACTCAAACCTCAATATAACAAGCACAAATTGTAATGAAATGTCGGTTATAACGAAGTAAATAAAAGATAGCCTAGCAATAGCTATAGTGTCGGAAATAATTTTTATAACAACTTTTTGGTATAATAAACTGTTCTTGTAAGATGCAAATTTGTTATAATGAGGTCTGAGTGTATGCGTGTGGACTCAACGAGCAGTACTCGGCACCCGTCTTTTCTAGGTTGTTTCGAGAACTGGACACTACACCTGCTTCTTTTGAGCACTCTTTTTTTCTTTGAACACTGCCATTAAGTTATAAAAACATTCCCAGTTTCCTGGAAATGGCAAAACAAAGAATGTGACAGCAACAAATCATACTGTTATACAAAGTAAGGCTGGCATCTAACTTTTTTGAATCCGATATCGCATACCTTAACAAAACACTGGTATAAGAGAAGCCAGCAGCTCCAGGGACAGATACTCTTTCCACAGTCTCTTCACATTAAAGGAGCACAGAGAAAGTTTACTCATGTCAAAATTTTTGCGTCAATGAGTAGCTATCAAACCGTAGTAGCAATTCACGACTTATAATGCAACTGAGGGACAAATAATTATCACTTTTATTGATTGATATCACTGGTTTCTAACACAATTCAAAACAACCAGCAATCCTGCCATTTTTAGCGCTGGGAGTGCTACCAGTGGTGCTACCTTGCGGTCACCTCCAGACCGCGCCAAAGCTGACCACTTCTCCACAAAAAAGAGTTGCGTCAGGCCATGCTGCTCCGCAAACATTTTGTCTGCTAGGCACACACATTCAGTCATGCCTTGTCCCCTGCATTGCTATCGTCGCCTTACAAAATGTCAACTAGGGCCAAATACGACAGTCTGGAACTTGATATTGCCGCTATTCGCGACGTCCCAAATCAACTCTTTGCAGAACAGCGATTCCAAAATGAATTCCA